GTTTGGAAATGGAATAGAGAGATGAACCTGTGCTTGGGAAACACCTCTTCAGTCACCAGAGAAACTGAGAGAGAGCTCCAATTTGGACAATTTTATAGCCAGGGGTGAGCTAGGAAGGGAAAAATTTTTTTTTTCTTTATTGATTTTAGAGAGAGAGGAAGTGAGAAGGAGAGAGAGATAGAAACATCAATGAGAGAGAACATCAACTGGCTGCCTTCTGCATGCACCCCATTGGGGATTTGGTCCACAACAGGGCATGTGCCCTGATCGGGAATTGAACCAGCGACCTCCTGGTGCATGGGTCAACGCTCAACCACTGAGCAACACCAGCCAGGCGGAAGGGAAAATCTTTTATTCCATGTATTAACTTGAACCAAGCTAAAATGAGTCTTTATTTAGAATTAGTGACCTATATTCACAATTTTGGTGAATAGCACTATAATCTGTCACCCAACTAACCCAGAAACCTGAAAGTCATAAGTGTTACACTCTCTCCACTGTCCCTTGCCCCTCAAGGTTAGTCATCCCACAAGCCCTGTCAATATTGTCTCTTTTTTCCAATCTGTCTTTTCCTCTCCATTGTTACTATTGTTGACCTAGTTCAGGTCCTTATAATCTCCCACCTAGACAACTGGCCTTCCTGCCTCCAGTCTAATCGCCTTCCAAATCCACCCTTCAGACACTACCAGAATAATCTTTCTCAGACATATATCTAACCATGTTGCTCTCCTTCTTAACAACCCTCCCACCTCCCAATTCATAGCATCTGAAAACTAAATTCTAAGCATAGCATTCTAGACTTTTTCTTCCCTGTTTAACTTTCAGCCTTCATTCTGGTCATCCCCACCCCCCATCACACACACACACACTGTGCTCTAGTCATAGTGACCTACTTTCAGTTCCCCAAATACAACATGCTTTATCAAGCCCCTACACATACCTGGAATGCCTTCTCCTCCCTGTGCCAGCCTGGAGAACTCCAGTCCATCTTTGAAACTCAGTTCAGGAGTCATCTCCTCCTGATTTACCCCAGGCAAAGTCAGTTGCCCCTCTCTCAGGGCCCCACAACTACTTGTACATACTTCCACTATTATACAAGTTTGTTTGCTCGCCTGTTCTCCATGTCTAGGATAGACTTAAAATAGGTGCTCAAGGTTTGTTGAAAGAGAGGATGAATATTTTATAGGTACTTTAGGTTGCCAAAAGGAGCTTCTGCATATAAGAAACTGATGGTGTGTGTGCTGTCATGCCTTGGCAAAAGACCCTGGTGTTTCTTGTTTTTGTTTTTTAGGCCATGGTATTTTAATAATTTATTCCACAATTATTTATTTATTTATTTATTTATTTATTTATTTATTCATTCGCACGTGCCCCTACCAGGAACCGAACACGGGACTCTCTGGCCCACAGGCCGACGCTCCAACTGCTGAGCCAAATTGGCCAGGGCTCCACAATTATTTATTAAGCACCCACTTTGTGTCAGGTCCTGTACCATTTTTAAAAGTCAGTGGGTACCACATTAAACAAGAAAAATATTCCTGGCCTTTAAGGAGGGCACTCTCCAAAAGAAGCTTTATAACTGCATGGAATTAAAGTATGAATTTTTTAAAAAGCAGATCCTGGGAGATGCAATTATTTCACTGTACTGAAGGAAAGTTTAAACAACTCTTTTAAATTAAAATAAAAAAAAAAAAGCTTGCCCTGGCCAGTTTGCTTAGCGGTTAGAGCATTAGCCTGTGGACCAGACAGTCCCAGGTTCGGTTCCCGCTAAGGGCACGTACCTCGGTTGTGGTTTGTTCCCGGCCCTGGTTGGAGTTGTCCAGGTGGCAATCAGTCGCTGTGTCTCTCTCACATCCTTGTTTCTCTCTCTCTCTCTTACTCCTTTTCTCTCCCTCCTGCTCTATCTGAAGATAAATGCAAAAATGTCCTCGGGTGAGGATGAAAAAAAAAAAAAAAAAAAGGTTTAGGATAGGTGAACTGACATGACCAAGTCCTGCCACAAGGTGGCAATGCTTTTCTAGGAATGAAGACTTGGTGGCCTAGGACTTGAGGAAAGCAAGTGGTTCTCATCCCTTACCCCAGAGGAGTACTACTACTAAAAATTTAACATGGTAGCCATTTTCAATTTTCAGAAGAGATCAACTAAAAGATGATTTAATCAACATTTTCCCTCCAGACTTTCATAAGCCTTTGGAAGATGCTTTTGTTTGCCTTCTAGCAAACAAATACAACTTTGGAATGGGCTAAACATGTTAAATTACTTGCCTTATTATTTCATAGACATGTAATTTCAAAATTGATTTTTTTCTTTATTGATTTTAGAGAGAGAGGGAGAGAGATAGAAACATCGATGAGAGAGAACACTTACTGACTGCCTACGTGCCCCCCACTGGGGATTTGGCCCACAACCTTGGTATGTACCCTGACTGGGAATTGAACCGGTGACCTCTCGGTCCATGGGTTGACACTCAACCACTAAGCGACACTGTCCTGGCCAAAATTGATTTTTTACATTGATTTTGAATGATATAATAATAGATCCTACTAGTGAAAATGTTTCCTAATTTATATGACCAGATTAAATGTATCAGTATCATAAAATATTTCCTATAGAGTACCTTATTTCCAGGTGCTCTACCAATTAAACCCATTTGAGAATCATGATCTAATCCAATGTTTTCTCATTTCAAATGGAGAAAACAAGGCTCTGAGAAGCTAAATGACTTCCACAAGGTCACAAAGCCATTTATGGGACAAGTTCAGGCTTATCCCTGCAGAGTGAACATTCAGATCTTTCCCTTGCGGCCATCTGTCAACTTCATAAACAGAACGTTTTGGATGATTAACCTTGAGAGTCAAGAGACAGAGAGGAGTCAAGGTGACTCCCAGGTTTCTGAATTGGTGAGTGATGGATTATGGTGCCATTCACCAAAATTCAGAATACAGACTGCTCATTCCAAATATATCTCATATATTTACTTCCGGGGGGGGGGGGAGGTTTAAGAATAATAATATAGTTGACATGTGACTGAATTAATTAGTTCAACAAATATTGATTTCCCTAACATGAGCCAGGTATGTGCTAAAGTGTGGTTCTCAAAAGTATGGTCTTCATATCAGCAGCATTATCATCACCTGGAAACTGGTTAGAAATACAAATTCTTAGGCTTCACATTAGACATACTGAATCAGAAACTCTGGGAGTGGGGTCCAACAATCTGTTTTTACCAGCCCTTCACATCATTCTGATGCATGCTCAGCTTTGAGAACGATTATTCTAGATAGTGAAGTTCTGGTGTTAAAAAAAAAAAAGTGCTTATCTTCTTGGAGCAACAATATACAAATAGAAAATTTTAGGTAGAGATAAGTATTATCAGGGAAACCAAAACAGGGGACAGAGGGACAATGCAGAAGGGTGCTCAGGCAAGGTCTTTCTGAGGCGTATGAACTCTGGAGTCAGATTGAATATTGGCTACCCCAGTTACTAGCCTTTTAAAGGTTTAGTTTCTTTATCTGCTAAAATTGAAATAGCAATACTATTTACCTTAAAAAGTTACTCTGAAGATTAAATAAAATAATGTTTGCAAAATTCTTGCAAGTGTTTCTGTCACAGGACAACTCCCCGGTAAAGGTTAGCCCTCCAAATATGAGGGAGGAGTGCTATAGATGTATATTTGGGACTGATCAATGTAGAAATTAATAGTAGAGTGGGTGAAAAGGGAGATAGGCTGAGATGTGAGGGAAGAGAATGGATGATAGACTCTTGGTGTTGGGGGTAGAAGTGGGTTGAGAATTGGTGAGGAGGTGATGAAATGAAGATGAGAATTCTGAGCACAGCTAAAGGTGGAAACTTGGAAGAGGAGGCCAATGAATAAGGTGACTAACTATTCCTGGTTTGCCTGGGACTGAGGAGATTCCTGGGAGATGAGTCTTTCAATGCTAAAACCGAGAAAGTCCATAGGAAATTGTGATGAGCTGATCACCTTAACAGTGGATAGGATCTTGGGGAGGTGAAGTGAACTCTTTCTTCGTGCCCTCTGATCTCCTCCTTATAGTAATCTTGTAAAGTACCTTCCAGTAGTTGACTCAATCCAAAGCCAGAGGGCAAAGGAGCTCAGGAGTGCAGAGGGGGGAGAAGTCAGCCTTGCCTGGAGAGAACAGGATAAGGAAAGACAGAGAATGGACCTGGAGTGGCTAAAATATAGTAGTGAGCACTGTGACAAGGGATTAGAATTGTCTACGATTAGTCTGATTCCATACCTTTTATCCTTTTTCCTGCCTTACCCAAAGAACCTAGGAGTGGGATGAGTGGGTGTTTTCTGCATCCCCGAATCATTAAGGAGAATTCTAAAGGTTATCCAAGGATATTCTTTAGTATCTGAGCAGCCCACAAAACTTTTCTATTTTGATGTTCACTGACATGAAGCCATGTACAAGAAGGAGCAGGTAGGATGTAACTGTTCCAGGGATGGAGGTCCCGGAGAAAATCCTCAAGGGCACTGGATCCTAGTACAGGTCAGAGACGACTTCTGGTATCCACGATCTTCTCCCAGCTTACTTCCTGCCTGGAACAGGAACTTACTCCTCAAATTGCTGCTCGGTGGAAACTATCGCACAATGGCAAGGGTCAAAGGTCAAAGTCCACCCCTTGAATGGTACCATTTTGCTAAGCCAGAAGGCCCGACAACTCCAGCGGCCAGAACACCTCCTGCCCCCTCAGATTAAGTTGACAAGCGGAGCCGCGACCCGCCAACCCAACCCACATTGCGCTTGCAGGACTGGCCGAAGGCGCCTCGTGATTGGTAGAACGGAGTGGGGGCGTGGCCTCAATTAGAAAGCCAACTCTGGATTGGTGAAAATCGGCACGGGCGGGACCTCCACGGTAGGCGCGAAAGCTCCAAAGTCGCTGCGGGGCCGAATACGGCGGGAGCAGCTGCGCAGCGGCTGAAGGAACCGGAGACCTGTTTCGTCCTGAGCAAAGCGCTGGAGAGGCCGAAGTCATGACGGGCGAAGTGGCTTCCGAGGTGAGTTCATGCACATGTCTCCATCCGCGGTTGCGGAGGTCGGCGCCGAGGGGTGGAGTTGGGCGAGGGTCGAGTCCCGCTGAGTGGGTTGCAGAGGCTGGGAGGACTACAGCTCCCGGCGTGCACCGGACAACTTGGCCTCGTGCCCGGAGAGAGAGAGCCCCCAGCCCCCCGGCCCCACGATCTCGCGGTCCAGTCCCCGCGCTCGGGTTCCCGGTTCTTCGTCCCCGCGGCCGTTTTGCTCCTGGTCTTTGCGGCGCGCGCAGCGGGCCGCCCAGCTCCTCCTCAGCCTGTCCCGCCCTCCCGCCGGGTTGGCGGCTTCCTGCTGTGGGTGCTTGTCTTACAGCGTCCGGAAAGAGAGCAAGGCCCAAGCCGAACCGGGCCGCCGGGATGCGGGACAGGATTCTCTGTCAATGGACGGCGGGGTCTAAGGGAGTTCATAATGGGTCCTGGAAGGGGCCTCTGAGGTCATGGCGTGGGGCCCCGACAGGGGTTGTACCTCCCGATGGAAACCACTTGTTTCCAGTCCTGAGTCCTTTTCTGGGCGGGATAAAGGTGCGGTACTCCCCTTGGGAGCAAAATTTAAGGAGATGCCAAAAAACCCCAGTAATCAAAATGATATTTTAAAGCAACATTAAAGAAAATTGATACCCCAAATATCTCATGACTTGATAATGAGTAAAATACCGAACTTTTAAATAAAGACAGGATTTGACCCTGCGCTGGCACTACTCAACCTCACTCACCTCACCCTTGCTGGTACTGCCGCAAACTGCCTAGAATAAAGCGATTACCATCTTGTATTGAGTTTCGGGCGGCTTTGGGATTGTTGGCAGGATCTAAAGAAAGTCTGCATATTGCAGTTGTTGATATGTATGTGTATCATACATACACATTGATATGTTGATGTGATTGTATATACCTTCACTTTTATAGGTCCCCCTCCCTTTCCTCCTCTCTCGTTTTCTTCAAATTACTGTTAAGGAAACCACATAGGGTGGGGGCAGGTAGAAGAGGGTAAAGGAGGGATAAATGGTGACGGAAGGAGACTTGACTTTGGGTAGTGAACACACAATACAATATACAGATGATGTTTTATAGAATTATACAATTGAAACCTATATAATTTTATTAACCAATGTCACCCCAATAAATTCAACTTAAAATAAACCACAGCCCGGCTGGTGTGGCTCAGTGGTTGAGCATCGACCCATGCACCAAGAGGTCGCCAGTTCGATTCCTGGTCAGGGCACATGCTCAGGTTGTGGGCCAAATCTCCAGTGGGGGGCATGCAGGAGGTGGCCAGTCGATGTTCTCTCTCATTGATGTATCTATCTCTCTCCCTCTCCCTTTCTCTCTCTAAAAATCAATAAAGAAAAAAAATTAAAATAAATCACAGTTTATCTTACATGTCCCACACCTGAATTGCATCTCTATGATGTTATTTAACATGTCATTTAGATACACTGAGAAACAGTTCACACAGAAAAAGCATACTGCCCTGGCCGGTTTGGCTCAGCGGTTAGAGCATCGGCCTGCGGTCTGGAGAGACCCGGGTTCGGTTCCCGCTAAGGGCACGTACTTCGGTTGCAGTTTGTCCCCGGCCCTGGTTGGTCGTGCGGGTGGCAGCCGCTCGATGTGTCCCTTCACGTCGACGTTTCTCTCACTCTCTCTCTCTTCCTCTCTCTCCCTCCCACTCTATCTGTACAAAAAATGGAAAAATGTCCTTGGGTGAGGATTTAAAAAAAGAAAAAGCATACTAAATGCTTGATTCTTTTAACTTACTTACCATTACAGAAGTCTCTCCTTATCTGCAGAGGATGTTTTAAGACTGCCGATGAATGCTTGAAACTGCAGATAGAACCTAAACATAAATGTTTTTTCCTATACATACTGGTGATAAAGTTTAATTTATAAATTAGGCACAGTAAGAGATTGACAACAACAACTAATGATAACATAGAACAATTGTAATAACATATTGTAGTAAAATTTAGGTGAATGTGGTCTCTCTCAAAATATCTTACTTAACCATCACCAATTATATTGCAGTAAATGTCTTGGTGCCACTTCAGGGGATCTCTTGCTGAAATCTCCATATAGGCTCCATACTTTCTGGCACACATTGCCATCAATCAGAACACGTCTTCTGTTCATGTCTTCCATCCACAAATTTAATGCCTTTTCCATATTTTTTTTGTTAATCTTCACTGAGGATATTTTTCCATTGAGTTTTAGATAGAGTGGAAGGGAGGGAGGGGGAGAGAGAGAGAGACATCAATGTGAGAGAGACACATTGATTGGTTGCCTCCAGAACAACCCCGACTAGGGCCAGGGATTGAACCTGCAACCCAAGTATGTGCCCTTGGCCGGGAATCGAACCCTCGACCCTTTGGTCCACAGGCCAGTGCTCTAACTGCCAAGCCAAACCGACCAGAGCTGGGTAATGCCATTTCCATCGTAACTAAGCATTTATCATACTTGTGGCCATAACTTACAGTTTGAGGTGTGACAGTAAAACTAACATGAATTTCTTTTTCCTTCTTTACAATTTCACAAATAAAAGATTTGTTCTTACTGTAGATCTCAGCAACTTCAGCACATGATTTTTTTTCTTTGTCCTTATTAAGCCAAGAGCTTTCACCATTTCACTTAAAGGAAGCACTTTATATGTCCTCTTTGATATATCTGACTTGCCAGCATCACTACTGCTGTGCTATTATTAAGTAAAATAAGGCTTACTTGAACATAAGCACTGTGGTACCATGACAGTCAGTGACAGTTGATCTGATAACTGAGGTGGTTACTAAGTGACTAACAGGTGGATAGGATATACGGCATGGATATGCTGGACAAAGGGATGATTCATGTCCTGAGTGGACATAGTGGGATGGTTTGAGATTTCACCATGCTACTCAGAATGGCATGCAATTTAAAACTTAGGAATTATTTATTGAGTTATTTCTGGAATTTTTCGTTTAATATTTTCAAACCTCAGTTGGCCATGGGTAACTAAAATTATGGAAAGTGAAAGTATGGATAAGGGGGAACTACTATACTCAATATAAAGAGGTGGTTCTATAGAATCCTGTAAAGGTAAACAATGATTTTTGTTTGTTTCTTGTCTGGTAATTCTTAATTCCATCCCTTCATTGAACCATTAAATTGTTTTTATTCCTTATTTCAGCCTGATGATCCCACAATGATTTGTGTATCATTATGTACTTAGAGCTTTGTCACCTAAGTAGCTGGTTAATGCAAAGCATATTATTTTCTAGGTTCACCTAGAAATCAATGATTTAAAACTCATTTCACAAGAAGAAGCAGATAGTCCTTCAGACAGTGGACAGGGCAGCTGTGAAACAATTGGGACCTTGAGTGAAAGAGGTTTGTAATAGTACTTTTATTTTTCGGAATAGAATGTGGGGACTTCGGTTGTAAGTAGATTAGATTATTTTCATTATTCTCTTGATTTATTGTTATTAATGTCCAACTTTTTTGTTTATTATAAAAGCAAAAAAAAATAGTGCTTGTACCCTTTTGAAAATAATCATTTCTGTTATACTATTGAATATATAAAACATTGAGAAGCTACCACATTGCCTGGATGAATGCATTCATCCTATAATAAAATAATTTTTAACAACTGCCAGAATGCTTAGAACAACTTTTCCCATTATAAAGATCTATAATTACATTTCTCAGTGAGACATTTTTCCAGGGAAAATATTTTTCAAATATATTTTTAGATTTGCTTTGTAACAATCAGTTCTTAGTGGTAGTTACCTAATTTTATAAGGTGATATATCACTTGGATAATTGAATAGGTTTTTGGATGATTGGATATGCTTTTGAATGATTCGATAGGTTTAGTGGGACTAGTAGAAAGGCCAAATGACAGCAAACCTCTAAAAAAAAGTTGTGTTTCCTTCAGATTCAGATGAAGAGATATTTGTAAGTAAGAAACTGAAAAGCAGGAAAGTGCTACAAGACAGTGATTCTGAAAGAGAGGAACCAAATACCTCTCTAGAGAAGGCTACCTATGACAGTGTTGAAGAGGAAAATAAAGAGAACTTATATGCTGGAAAAAATGGGAAAGTCAGAAGGGTTTACAAAACTCTGGCAGCCAGTGATGGAAGTGACATCGAGGAGGATTCTTGGTACCAGGAAAATCTTGAAACCCAAGGGACATCTTCCTTAGAGCTGGGTCTCCAATCTGAAAATTCTGTGGACTTTACAGCTGACAGAAAGATTTCCAAAAAACCCGTACATGATAAAGAAGGAACTGGGGGAAAAGCAAAAGTAAAATCAAAGAGAAGACTCGAGAAAGAGAAGAGAAAGATGGAAAAAATTAGGCGGCTAAGAAACGAGGAAACAAAAAATGAGGTACATTTTAAAGAACAGTTTGCTATTTCTAATGCAGATTAACATTTTGGAAAATGTTTTTAGTTCTGAGGTTTTTCTGCACTCAGAATATAGCTTTGAGTTTATTGTTTTTGCATTGCACGTAGTGAGGTATGTCATTTAAAACTTGGTCTCATTCTCCATTTCAGATACATGGAGGACATTTCCAAATAAATGGGTTTCTGATTTTCTTTGTGAGTGCATGGGGGTGATTCTTCGCTTTCAAAGAAGGATTTTTCATGTGTTTATCAGTCAGAAATTTTGCTTGCTATCTAGAAAAACCATCCTCAAGTTTTATAAACTAGTTCCTTAAATATTTAATTGACTTCTCAAAAATATTTACTGTTTTTTAAGTTAGTTTTGGACAGTTTGCATAAAATCGCAGCATAGACTTCAAGGGATTCTCTGGGTTAGGAACCAGTGAGGATGTTTTAGAATGCCTTATATTTGTTGATGAAACATGGGCTTTTTCTGGCCTGATCCAAATTGCCTTATGTTGTTGTGAAATACTGGATTTTGAAATGATTGGATTTTGTTTTTTCATTATGCATTATCCAGGAAGAAGATGTGAAACAGCCATTTACTGATAGTGGCTGTCTTCTTGTAGATGAAGACCTTTTTGAAACTGGGTTGGAGGAGGAGAGTAACTCTCCATTGGAAGATGAAGAGTCATTAGAATCCATAAGGGCAGCTGTGAAAAACAAAGTAAAAAAGCACAAGGCAAGTAAAAAATTTTTGCAGTAAGAGCTAACCTTTTGCTTCTAACCTTTGTTTTATTTTCTGATTTACTGTTGGAACTTTAATTTTTTTTTTCAACAGAAGAAAAACATGTGTCAATTTATTTAAGTTTTTCAGCTGTTAACTTTGGGATCATGCAGTACAAGTGATAGACACACTAACTTGTTTGGAAACTAGTTGTTTTTTTTTTATCCTCACCCGAGGACACCTTTGCATGTATCTTCAGATAGAGTTGAAGGGAGAGAGGGAGGAAGAAAGAGAGAGAAACATTAATGTGAGAGAGACACATCGAGTGGTTGCCACCCACACGAGCCCGGTTGGGGCTGGGGACAAACTGCAACTGAGATACATGCCCTTAGCGGGAACTGAACCCAGGACTCTCTAGTCCGCGGGCTGATGCGCTAATGGCTAAGCCAAACCAGTGATGGTTGGAAACTAGTATTTTGATTGCCCTCATAGAAATGTTGTAGGGGGAAAGTAAGATACTTTATGTTGTGTAAGAAGCAGATAAATAATGGGGCAGAGATGTAAATTTTATAAACATGTGCCCTCTAAGAAATGAACCAATAGACCTGGCTGGTGTGGGTCAGTTGGTTGAGCATCAAGAAGCTGCTGGTTTGATTCCTTGTCAGGGCACATGCCTGGGTTGTGGGCTCAATCCCCAGTAAGGGGTGTGCAGGAGGCAACTGATTGATGTTTCTCTCTCTTCCCCTTCTCCCTCCCTTATCTCTAAAATCAATTACAAATATATTTTTAAAAATTTAAGAAAAGAAATAAATGAACCAATAGGGTTTCAGAAAGGGTATCAAAGAGCTGCATCAGTCAAAGCATCATTGTCCTGAGTGATTAGGAGCATAATTGTTTTTCCTGAGATTAGCTACCCAGGAGTCATTGTCTCTCATTAGGGAAAAATGTGATAGAGGTATAAAGGATGAGGGCCCAAACTCCATTTGAGACATTGAATTTGTTTTTTGTTTTTTATTTTTTTAATCCTCAACCGAGGACATTTTTCCATTTTTTGTTCAGATAGAGCGGGAGGGAGAGAGAGGAAGAGACAGAGAGAGAAACATCAATGTGAAGGGACACATCGAGTGGCTGCCACCCGCATGACCAACCAGGGCCGGGGACAAACTGCAACCGAGGTACATGCCCTTAGCGGGAACTGAACCCAGGTCTCTCTCTATACCGCAGGCCGACGCTCCAACCGCTGAGCCAAACCGGCCAGGGCGAATTTGTTTTTTAGACATAGGGTGCTGTGTTTAAAATTTTCTGTTTGATAATTATTAATGTATTATTAATGTAGCATGATGTAATGTTAGAGCACGAAAGCAGTCTTTGAGTAAGCAACATTCTCTTATTTTAATTCTATTTTTGTCCATATTGTTTAACTTGTAATCTCTTTTAGAAAAAGCAACTATCTTTGGAGAGTGGCGTTGCTTCCTTTGAAGAAGAAAGTGAATTATCAAAAGGCGCCATGAGGAAGGTGAGGTAGAGCACTGTACTATATAGTTGTCATATTGGTCTCTTTCTCCAGGAGATTGTGAATTTCTCAGGGATAATACTTTATCATGTTTATCATATTTTCTTGGTATCCAAGATAATGCTTTTTACATAGTAGGGACACAAATATGGATTGGATGCAATTAATTCTATGTGACTTGCAAATAAATGAACTCCTTGTGTTTATATTGTATTGAGTTTATTTGTGCTTACTCTTATCTCTCTGTCCTCTTTTCTTGGAGAGAGCAAACTCTCTTTCTGAATATCTCTCTATAGCATTAATGTAGTCTCACTTTTTGTTTTCTTTAAGGAAAGGAAGGCAGCCAAGTTAAGCAAGGAAGCATTAAAAAAATTGCATAGTGAGACTCAGCGCCTTATTCGAGGTAATGCAAATCAGTACAGTAAACTTTAAGGCAAATCACAATATTTCTTTGTAAGCTTGATTTAGATGTCGGGGATTTTTTTTGTTCAACACTCCTAATATGAATTGGGTTATAATATCAAGTTTAGAATTGATCTTGGTGCATGGCTATTGTTCTGAAGCTCTTGGGACATTTACTGCAAAAGGAGAAAATTTTCAGAACTGTAGTGGTGGTAAGGAGGGAGGTTGTTTTTTTTAATGGTTTTTATGGACCAGCTGCATCAGGATCCCTTTGGGAACTTTATAAATATGTAAATTTTAGACTCCACAGAAAATCTGAATCAGTAGGTTGAAAAGAGGCCCAAGAATCTGTGTTTTTAAAAACTTCCTGGACCAGTTCGATTTCACAGCCACTGGTCTACAGGGAGTTCTTTTGTACTTAGATTCTGTATTTATTAAAGTCAGGACTGTTTTATATTTCTGGTGATTGCTTTGGCTGTACTGTTTAGTTAACTGAATATGAAGCAACATTTCAGAATGTACAGTATATAGATTTGCTTGTTTTGTTCCATTTTATAGAGTCTGCACTTAATCTTCCATATCATATGCCTGAGAATAAAACCATTCACGATTTCTTCAAACGTAAACCCCGGCCCACTTGCCAGGGAAATGCCATGGCGCTATTGAAGTAAGAACTCTCTTTCCTGTGATTATAATTTTCATAAACATTCCATTTTGTAGCAAAGAAAAAGTTCAGTTTCCTTACCCCCTTAAAACTAATTTAACTGATTCATTCTGTGCTAAAAGATGAGAATGTTTCACATTAGGATGATTTTCAACTTTAGCTCATTTCCCCTTCTCTAGGTCATCTAAGTATCAGTCAAGCCATCAGAAAGAAATCACAGACACCACAAACACAACTGAGAAGAATAGTGACCATCATAGCAAAGATTCTGAGCCAACAACAGGTGCAGGATGTGAAATGGAAACTAATGCCCTCCTTGCAGTTTCAAAGGAACCCCAGATGACTACTGGATCAAATGAGTCTTGCAGTAAAGATTTGATGGGAAGTGAAGAGCTAGAAATTGATGCGAAACAGAAGCAGAGTGATGTTAGACCTTCACCTGAAGACAACTCGGTGGCAGAGCAGGAATCCAGCTTCCTTGGGAACAAGGACAATGACAGGTATCAGACTGGAGAGCTTGTGGCACCTGAACCTGATGCACTGGAGGGAGAAGAAGGCCTGCAAAAAACAGAAGCAGCAGATGAGAAGGTGGATGAGCCCAGGCAGCAAATTAAATCAGCAGCAGTTGTGCCACCTGAAAAAGCAAGGAGGTTCACTCTGGATAGACTTAAGCAACTGGGAGTAAATGTTTTCGTTAAACCTCGGCTGGGTGCTGATGAAGATTCCTTTGTGATACTTGAAGAACCTGAAACCAACAGAGGTAATCCTTTGAATTGTGGGGAGCCTCTCCAGAGTGATTTATTCTGGCAGCTTTCAATTACATGCCACTTTGGAGGACAGGGAACACAGGAGAAACCAATAACCACACGTGATCTTATTCTAAAGATGTACAGGCACACTCCGTTTAATTGCACTTCGCCTATTGCACTTCATAGATGTTGCATATTTTACAAATTGAAGGCAGGACCCTCCACCAGCAAAAAGATTATGACTTGATTTATTGCAATACTTGCTTCATTGTGGTGGTATGGAACTGAACCCACAATATATCTGAGATATGCCTATACCAGATATGGGTAGAATCCCATTTAGATAAATTTAGCATTGTATCAGAATATTCTAAACTTTGTTTAAAATGGAAGCCTGTTGATAGGTTAATATACGAAAGAGGTACATTGCTATTGTGTTATGGTATGACATTCATAAAAACATTATTATACAGTTAAAGAGAAATATTTTGGTTCAGGAAATTGCAAGATTGAATTTTTTTTTTTAATCCTCACCTAAGGATATTTCTTCTATTGATTTTTAGAGAGAGGGAGGCGGGGCGGGGGGGAGAAAGAGACAGGCAGGGAGAGGGAGAGAGAGAGAGAGAGAGAGAGAGAGAGAGAGAGAGAGAGAGAAACATCGATGTGAGAAAGACATTGATTGGTTGCCTCCTGCATACACCCCAACTGGGTGAGGCCAGTCATTGAACCTGCAACCCAGGTACGTGCCCTTGACCGGGGATTGAACCTTTGACCTGTTGATCCATGGACTGACACTGTAACCATTGCTCAGGACTGAATTTTTTGTAACTCATTCAATAAATACTAAACTATCCGCTACATGCAAGATGCTATAGGGCACACCAAGGGAAATCTGACATTTATTCTACACTTAAGCTACTTACATTCTAGTAGAGAATATAAGTATGCAAGAGAAAAAGTGGTGGCATCTTTTATAATGAACATGTGTCACTGATAATTGGAAAAAATTAAATAATGTGAAGAAAAGGGGAAAGTATTCTTTGCTGAAAGAAACATTTAGAATAAAGTGCTTTCAGCCCTGGCCAGGTTGCTCAGTAGGTTGGAGCATCATCCCTGTCAGGGCACATCTCTAGGTTGCAGGTTCAATCCCCAGTCGAGGCAGCCAATCAATGTTTCTGTCTCACATCAACGTTTCTCTGTCCCTCTCCCTTCTTGTCTCTCTAAAAATCACTAAAATGTATCCTCTGGTCAGGAATGGAAAATAATAATTAAAAAAATAGAATAAAGTGCTTTTGGAGTTTAGAGGAGGGATAAGTTTCTTCCAATAGGTGGTTAAAGAAAGGCTTGAAGAATAGATGGATGTAATTTCTTGTTCACTGCTTTCCCCTTGACACTTTGAGCAGGGTCTTTTGGCTTGTTCCCTACAATATCCCCAATGCTTCCACAGCAGATGACACATAGTAGGCATTCATGTTTATTGAATGAATGAATGAGCCTTCAAAACAGAACTCAAGTATTACCACATTAAACTTCCTGACTCATAGGTAGAATTGGGTGTTGCCCCTGTATTGAAGCAGTGTGGCATGGTAATTAAAAGCTTAGGCATAGCAAGACCGGAGTTTGAATCTAGACTATGCTACTTAGTGTTTAACCTTCAGTATGCTATTTGGCCTCTCTAAGCCATCTTTTAAAAAAAAAAAGAAGAAAAAATAGCACTGTCTGGTTCACAAGACTATCATGAGGATTTGTTGAGATCATCCATATACTGCCCTGGCCAGTTTGGTTCAGTGATTAGAGCACTGGCCCGTGGACCAAAGAGTCTCAGGTTCGATTCTGGGGCACATACCTCAGTTGTGGTTCAGTCCCCAGCCCTGGTCAGGGTTATATAGGAGGCAACCAATCAATGTGTGTGTGTGTCTCTCTCTACTACCCCCCACTCTATCTGAAGATAAATGGAAAAATATCCTCGGGTGAGGATTAAAAAAAAAAAAAATCCATTAAAAAAAGAAAAGAAATCATGGATATAATTGGCATAAAGAAACACTCATAGTGGCTGGTACTTCTACTAGTGTAATTAGTGAAATTAATACATCAAGACTCACTAAATAGCTTATGGTTGACGAGTACTGTGTCATCCATAGTATTTGGTGTATGAAATATACTCAGTGAGTCTTTGTTGATTGAATGGATGGGCTTTGTGGAGTGAAGAGGACATTCTTGTAAGGGTCAGAAAGAATGGAATGATACATATTGGGAGGTTGTGTAAGTCAGTTTGACCAGAACAGAAGGTGGGTGGAAGAGTTGTGTAATAGAACTAGCATAGCTCCATTAACAAACAAGAATGGAAATGAACTATTGCCTAGAAAATGGAGGGAAAGTTTAGTTATCTCAGACCAGAAGTTCAAAGAGATGGGGAAGAAACATTTTTGAATACTTGCTATACTAGACACTACTAGTGCTGTGTGGGACTGGAAGTTACCTAAACAGTCTGGACTGAGAGACAGGAAAGGGAAGAAACCTATTTTTGAGTATCTACTATGTACTCAAAAGAATCTACTGTGTAGATTCTTTATTGATTATCTTATATAAAAGTTGGGTGTGTGGTTCAGGGGCAACCTATAAGGGGGCTTTTCTTTTTGATTGTACTGACTAAGCTAGTATAAGAGTTACACCAAAAAAATTTTCCTGCCCTGCTACTGAGTTATATCACTGACTGGATTGCCATTTTATTTTATTTTATTTGGTTAATCCTCACTTGAGGATATTTTTCCATTGATTTTTTTTTTTTTAGAGTAGGAGGGAGGGAGAGGGAAAGGGAGAGAGAGAGAGAAGGACAGAGACATCGATGTGAGAGAGACATCACTTGGCTGCCTCCCCCACAACCCTGACCAGTGCCAGGGATCAAACCTGCAACCCTTCAGTCCGTGGGCCAAAGCTCTAACCGCTGAGCCAGGGCTCTTTTTTCTTCTTTTTTTTTTTATCCTCACCCAAGGACATTTTTGCATTTATCTTCAGATAGAGCAGGAGGGAGAGAGGGAAGAAAAGAGAGAGAGAAACATTGATGTGAGAGAGACACATCAACTGGTTGCCACCCACATGACCCCAACAGGGGCCGGGGACGAATGCAACCAAGGTATGTGCTCTTAGTGGGAACCAAACCCGGGACTCTCTGGTCCATGGGCCTGTGGGCCGACGCTCTAACCGCCCAGCCAAACGGGCCAGGGCTCTGTTTTTTAATTGACTTTGCCCATATTTACTAAGATTTCTAATAAACAGTGAAATGTTCAAAATAGGGAGTATTTATTTTTTCCAAAATAGAGAATTTTTAAAAAGGAGACTGAAACCAATGAAAAATGAAGTCCTTGAATAATTGAGAATTATGGTATTTTTTGCTATGGTGTGATACTTTTAAAAAATGAATTGCACATATTTAGAAACTTCAGTTTTAAATTTCTGCCCTAAATGATTTTGAAGTATACTGAGGAAGAACAGTTGCAGTAGTCCATTAGTTTGGGTTAAGTTATATGAATTCACACAGGTGCTTGTAGCAAAGGGGCATTTGATGTCTCTTTGTGGGGGGGGGTTTTCTACGACTTTGTTGAACTTAAAAAACTTAGATTATAATTCCTAACTGAAATCGTAAAGGAAAGAGTTTGAAAATGGCAAACTGACATACTGGTTGACACTTGGATTTTAGAACTGGAAGCTTTGAAGCAGCGTTTCTGGAAGCATGCTAATCCAGCAGCCAAACCCAGGGCTGGTCAGAAGGTAAATGTAAACATCGTAGTGAAGGAAGTGGGCACTGATGGAAAGGAAGAGCTAAAGGCTGATGTAGTATCTGTGACTTTGGCAGCTGAGAAGCTGGATGGAGTAAGCTACACAAAACCAGGTATTTGAGTTTACTTTTCTTATTTTTTATATTTGCATTGTGCTTTGTACTCTGACAGGACTTTATGGCCACTGAAGACCCTACAGTGAAAAGTTATAGGCCCTGACCAGGTAGCTCAGTTTAGTTAGTGCGCCATCCTGATATGCCAAGATTGTGGATTTGATTCCCAGTCAGGGCACATACAAGAATCAGTCAAACAACAAATTGATTTTTCTCTTTCTCACTCTCTCTCTACCCCCCTCTTCCTCTCTCTTTAAAATCAATACATTAATTTTTTTAAAAAGAAATAAAAGTTATAGAATCCTTTTTCTTGGAGACTTTAGAGAGTAGACTACAGTACCTCTAGCATGATTCACATGTAGCATTGCCTAGAGGTGTGGAGTGGGTAAGATGACTTTATTCCTTAAAATAGCCTTTGTCTTATTTTTATTTTTTATTTTTATTTTTTACATTCCATTAATTTTTTTGCTTTTATTTTGAAAATATCATTTATGATGTGTTATGAGTATAAAACATACACAGATTGAAGCCTTGCTACCAAAACAATGAATGTATATCTCATTAACAGTTTTGTGTTGAATACATATTGACATAATATTTTACATATATTGAATTAAATAAGACATTATTGAAATTTTAAAAAAAAAGGAACGCTTCACGAATTTGCATGTCATCCTTGCGCAGGGGCCATGCTAATCTTCTCTGTATCGTTCCAATTTTAGTATATGTGCTGCCAAAGCAAGCACGCCTTTGTCTTATTTTTAAAAACTAAATATCCATTGTAGAAAATGCATGAAAAGAATAAACAAGGCTTCTACAGTCCTCTCGCAGAGATAACTTCTATAACTGTATTGTGTATCTAGCCTTGTAAACTCTTTACGTGTATCTATGTATGTATATATGTGTATTTTTTTTTTAAAGCACAATAATGTGATTATACCATATATTCTGTTTTGTAATCTGCTGTTTTGTTTTCACAATGTGTTATGACAGGTCTCTTGTTCCCACTCACACTTTGAAAATGTGAGTAACATGTCACATAGAAAAGATTTAAAACAATGAGGAAAAGGTATAGAATGAAAAATTAGTCTTCCCAAAGGCAACTGTTAACAGTTTTTTGTTTGTCCTAGGAAAATTCATATGTATATACCATTTTGTGTGTGTGTGTGTCTATGTGTGTGAAACAGAGATTGAATACTTATTCTCTGTCTGGCATTGCTCTAGGTGCTTTATAGTAAATAGCATTAGTATCCTAATTTTATGTATGAGAAAATGATATACAAAGCATTTACACAAATTTCTCAAGTACTAGAACCAGCAGCCTAATTCAGACCCCCTAACTCCAAAGCTCAGATACATATTATATTGCTTTTGAGGGTATTTTTTAACAGCTGCATAAAATTTCATTGTATAATTATAACATAATTTGTTTAACCATACTCCTATTAATGGACATTAATGTTCCAGTTTTTGGTATTTCATACAATGTATATCCTTGTATGAGATATTCGTTGGTATAATTAGATGCAAAATTATTTACAGTGGAATAAAATTTTGATATATATTATTCCATTGTTCTTTGAAATAGTTGCACCAATTTACAGTCTGGGTTACAGGGTGTAAAAATTCCTGTTTCCTCCTGTTAATTCATATTATCAAACCTAATTTTTTCCAAATATATAAAAAATGATATCTATTTTGATTTGTAGTTCTTTAATTACAAGTGAGGTTAAACATTATTATTATTATTATTTTTTATTTTTTATTTTTAATCCTCACCGGAGGACATTTTTCCATTTTTTGTTCAGGTAGAGTGGGAGGGAGAGAGAGGAACAGAGAGAGAGAGAGAAACATCGATGCGAAAGGAACACATCGAGTGGCTGCCACCTGCACAACCGACCAGGGCCAGGGACAAACTGCAACCGAGGTACATGCCCTTAGCGGGAACCGAACCCGGGTCTCTCCGGACCGCAGGCCGACGCTCTAACTGCTGAGCCAAACCGGCCAGGGCAAACATTATTTTTCAATTGTTTATTAAAGATATATTCATTTTTCTGTGAACTCCCAGTTCATATTCTTTGCCCATTTTACTCTTGAATTATTTCTTTTTTTCTTCAAAATAGATAAATTTATCAATGTTTTCTTAATGGCTTCTGAGCCAGAGATTCTTAAAGTCCACCCCCCCTTTTTTTGTTTTTTTTAATAATAATTTTTAATCTCTGCATAGGATATTATTCCAGAGTGTAGAACATAATTCTGGAAGTTTTCTTTTACATTGATTTCATAATAATCCCCATTTGTTAAAGTAATAAATGCCTAGAGTACTAAGGTCTCTGCTCTTCTTTTTGGGATGTGACTAGAACACTTCTGGAGTTGCCTAAAATTACATTTCCTTTATTGTAGTGTGGAGTCATCATTATGTCCTAAAGCATGTCTTGATATTTCTGTTCAGGTGAAAAGCTTCAGGTGCTGAAAGCGAAACTGCAAGAAGCAATGAAACTCCGAAGGTGTGAGGAACGCCAAAAGCGCCAGGCATTGTTTAAATTAGATAATGAAGATGGATTTGAAGAAGAGGAGGAGGAGGAGGAAATGACTGATGAGTCTGAGGAAGATGGAGAAGGGGAAGAAGAGGAAAAGTTAGAAGAAGAGGAAGAAGAAGAGGAAGAGGAGGAAGAAGGCACTCAGGAGGTTTCTGGCAATTATGTAATTTTGTTACTTGGTCATGAGGAATAAGGAAAAGACAGAATCAGATTTAAATAAGAGTATAAAAAGCATGTTCGGATGTATAAAATTTTAGTGACAGAGATGAATGTAGCTAGCTAACATGTACCTCAGTCTTAGTGTTTTTAGTTCAGTGGGCACCACTGAATACCTGCAGTTCACAGAGCCCTGGCTTGTGTTAGTTTACACATTGTAACATAATGCTAACATGAAATGGATTTGTGTAAATAGACTTTTATCTTTGTTGTTTGTTTAGGTTTCTCAGAATAAAAAGCGATTTTAACCATGGCCAGGTTGAGGCCTAGAATTGATTCTCAGGCAGGTGGAGATCTTCCTGAGTTAATTGCATTCTTCATTGAGGAGGGTATTTATAGAGGGATCTCTTGCCTTTGCTCCATAGTATTGCCGAGTGAACATAGATGATGACAAGATTTTTTTTTGTATTAGAAAAATGAAAAGCTTCCTTGTTTGAATGCTGGAGTCATTGGAAAGAGTTGGTTAATATTTAACCTGGGGAAAGAAAGAAGAAAGCAATGGCTGAAGTGGGTAGCATGTCACAGTCTGTGGTTGGTTTGAGGTCAGTAGTTGTCCTGCAATCTCAGGCTAATCATTTAACCTCTCATTGTCTGAAAAATAATTCTAGCTCTGGACCATGTGTCAAAGTTGGTTGGGCGTCGTCCCACACAACAAAACGCTGCTGGTTCGATTCCCAGTCAGGGCACATGCCTGGGTTTCAGGCTCAATCCCCAGTAAGGGGCATGCAGGAGGCAGCCCAGTTGATGTTTCTCTCTCTCTAAAAATCAGTTTTGAAAAATATTTTAAAAAATGATAATTTCAATTTTCTTTCATAATCTTATAGCAATTTTGGGAGGGTAGAAGGTAAAACAAGTGTAAAAGCTCTAAAGGTGTCAGGGAAAATCTTGTTATTGATGATGATGAGACTGAACTTCCTTCTGTTTACCTTTTCAGATGTAAGATATGACCAAGCAGCCATATTTCAGGCTAATACTGTGTTTGCTTTAAAATTTTTTTGACATGTATTATTTTGTTTTGGCATGGCATGATTGATAAAGATTACAGAATTCCTTCTCAGCAATGAAGAAGTAGAAACCAAAGATGAGAAAGTAATGGATAAAGAAAACAATGATGACAGTAGTGAAATTGGCAAGTCAGTTGGTCTATCTGTTCTCAAGCCTCTCTCATCAGATTCTACTGTATCCCTATTTAAAGACAACTCTTCCAAGATGGGGTAAGTAATTATCTCTAAGGAAAGCTAAGATTACCATTGATTTGCTGCTCTAGTAAGAAGCAGAAACAGATATTCAAACACTTTACTTTCTTATTTTGTAGTTACTTTCCTAGTGAAGAAAAATCAGAAACAGATGAAAACTCAAGCAGAAGGCCTAGCAAACTGGGTAAGTAGTGACTCTTATGCAGAACTTGACTTTGATACTTAAGAACGATGATTCTATAAGGTTCCATTTTTTTTTTTTAATCCTGGTAGACTTTTCCCAGTCTTGCATGTGGCAATGAAAGCAATTTATGAATTAGAATAATTTTCTTAGTCCAGTTTTTAAAACTTATACGCAGTTTCTTTATAGTTCACCATGGGTTTCTATAGGTCTGTTGTGAATATGTGTTGATTGTGTGAATCATGAAACATTTCTATGTAGACCAAAAGAAGATGTGTAAGTGGTTGGATAATGGAGAGAGTGATCATGTGCATTAGGCAGGGTGACAGATGGGAACTTTCAGATGTTACTTAGCTCAGAGTGATAAGCCTTGATTGTATAAGGCTGTCTTAGTACTGTAATTTACCTTTAACGTAATGCTTTGGAACATATAATTTGAGAGCTTTGCTTATGAATGTTACCTGACAGTTTCATTCTCAACTCTTTTTCCTAAACAAATCCACATTTTTTATAGAATCACACACTTAAAAGTTCTTTCTCTTTCTTTAGATGAAGATGATTCATGCTCATTGCTAACAAAAGAGAGCAGCCACAATAGCAGCTTTGAATTGATTGGCTCCACAATTCCATCCTACCAGCCTTGCAACAGACAAACAGGCTCTGGGACTAGTTTTATTCCTACAGCAGCAGGATTCAGATCTCCTTCCCCTGGGCTATTTCGAGCCAGTTTGGTCAGCTCAGCTTCTAAGGTAAGATGGTAATGGTTTTCTGATCTCCTCTCTTTTGCTTCCCACAGTGCTAAAATAAAGTGTACCAAGCCAACCAACTCCTACCACGTTATGTATGTTCAGTTTAAAAATCCACCCCGTTTGTGTATTAAAAACAAGCTTCATCCAGTGTTCTTACTTTCTTAGAGATATTTTTCTTTTTGCTTCTCTTGGCTATTCATTGTCCTCCTTAATTGCAGTTGCCTGAGAGTAGATTACACATTGCAAACAGCAACTTCTGTTGTTGTCATGACAGTGAATGACATTTGTAAAGTGTTATGTTTTTGTTTGGTTTTATTTTGGTGCCAGAGTTCAGGAAAGCTGTCTGAGCCTTCACTTCCCATAGAGGATTCCCAGGATCTATATAACGCCTCCCCAGAACCTAAGACACTTTTCCTAGGAGCAGGAGACTTCCAGTTCTGTTTAGAAGATGACACTCAGAGCCAACTGTTGGATGCAGATGGGTAGGTAGTTTTCTGTTTCTGTGGGCAGAATGGTGCTGGGTACTGCTTAATTTTGTTTAAAAATAAAGTGAGCTTCTGTCACTCCATCTGTGCTTTCTCATCTGAAAAAGAGAAGATGTACAAACCACTGGTATTATATCTTACAAGTTTGAGCAAAGTCTATCCAGAAAATAAAATGTAAATAGTCCTTGCTGGCATCCTTTGATCTCCACCTCATTTGAAATGCATAGCTCTTATAAAGGCATCAAATTTCCATGTATCTATCTTACTATATCATGATTGTTGGGTGGGACTGAAAATTGACAGACCGGTGGCACATTACATGGCCATGGCACCAAGCCCTACTCTAGCATCATCTCAAGCCAAAATTATCCTTTACCCTTTACCTTTGAATAGCATTTATTCTTTCGTAAAACTTCCCCCTCCCTCTTTAGATGATCACAAGGCTAAAGGTTGAGTCTTTTGTCTTCTGGTTTGGGATTCATCTTCTAACTTTGGTATTGGAAATGAGTTGAGTTTTTCCTCCACTACTTTGTTTTTTTCCACAGATCTTACATTCTAGCAGGGGTGTCAGAAAGAGAAAGGGGTGTGCAGGCAGGAACAATAAATTAGCATCTATATGAAATTTACTACACATCAGGCACTTTTCTAAGCTTTCCACAAATATTAAGAGCAATTTTCTTTTTTTTTATCCTCACCCTTCATTGTACTTGTAGGTTCTTAAATGTTAGAAACCACAGGAATCAGTACCAAGCTTTGAAGCCTCGATTGCCATTGGCAAGTATGGATGAGAATGCCATGGATGCTAATATGGATGAGCTGTTGGATTTGTGTACTGGAAAATTTGCTTCTCAGGCTGAAAAGGCTCTGCCCAGGAAGAGCGACAAGAAAGAGAACATGGAGGAACTTCTGAATCTTTGTTCGGGGAAATTCATCTCTCAGGGTAAATATCCAACAAAGTGCATCAGGCTTATCACAACCAACTATCTTAAGTCAGTATCCTTGAAAAGAAGCCCTTTACTCTTGGGTGAAAAGTTTATAGAAAACAGGGTGTGATGGATTTTTGCATATGGGTTGAATTCACTGCTTAGCTCCCTGATGATTAGAGCCCTTACTTTCTTAGGGTGGTAAAGTGTTGACTTAAGATTGCTCTTAGGTTAGAGCATTGGCCTGTGGTCCAGAGAGACCCGGGTTCAGTTCCTGCTAAGGGCATGTACCTCAGTTGCAGTTTGTCCCTGGCCCTGGTTGGGTCGTGCGGGTGGCGACCACTCGATGTGTCTCATCAATGTTTCTCTCTCTTTTCCTCCTGCTCTGTCTGAACACAGAATGGAAAATTGTCCTCCAGTGAGGATAAAAAAAAAGAAAATTGCTCTTAATATTTGTGGAAAGCTTAGAAAAGTGCCTGATGTGTAGTAAATTTCATATAGATGCTAATTTATTGTTCCTGCCTGCACACCCCTTTCTCTTTCTGACACCCCTGCTAGAATGTAAGATCTGTGGAAGTTTGGATCTTTGTTTTGTTCACTACTGTATCCCTGGTGCCTGGCACATAGTAAGTACTAAATAAGGATTTGTTGAATGAATTAATAGCTGGTGAAATCTTTTTAGTAAGCGTACCTTAGATCTGTATTGAGCTGGCATGTCTTTAGATGGCTGGGAAAAGAGGATAAAGTTGTTATTCCCCGGTAACAAATCTTTTTCTTTGTTGTTATGTAGATGACTCCACTCTGGCTCCATCAGAGTTAAATAAACTGGAGAAGGAGAGCAGCGTGGAAGATCCGATGGAAGAAGCACTTGCTCTTTGTTCGGGCTCTTTCCCAACAGACAAGTGAGTCTCAGTGATTGGTGGGAACTTAGGAAGACCTGGTTTTCTGATAAAATTGTGGGGTCAGGTTCTCTGGACTTAGCAATAATTGGCCATCTTAGGAGCTTCTTATCCTGTCTGGGTCTCAGTTTCATATTTGTGTGTAAGGAAACTATAATGCTTTCATTTAGTTGGTGGAAATCAGAGTAAAAAATAAGTACATGAAAGTGCTCAACATCACTAATTATTAAGGAAATGCAAGTCAAAATCACAATTAGATACTACCTTACACCCATTAGAATGACTACTATTAAGAAAAAGAGCCCTGGCCGATTTTGCTCAGCGGTTAGAGCATCGGCCTGCGGTCCAGAGAGACCCGGGTTCGGTTTCCACTAAGGGCACATACCTCGGTTGCAGTTTGTCCCCGGCCCTGGTTGGTCGTGCGGGTGGCAACCACTCGATGTGTCCCTTTCACGTCGATGTGTCTCTCTCTCTCCCTCCCACTTTATCTGAACAAAATATGGAAAGATGTCCTCGGGTGAGGATTAAAAAAAAAGACAAAGATAATAACAAGTATTGGTAAAGATATGGAGAAATTGGAATCCTCATGCTGTGTTGGTTGGGATATAAAAATAAGCTGCCATAGAAAACAAAATGGTAGTTCCTCAAAAAAATTCAAAATAAAATATGATTCAGTAATTTTATTTTTGGGTTTATATACAAATGGAGTAAAAACAGGGACTGAGATATTTGTACCCCATTTTTACAGCATTCTTATTGTTATTATTATTATTAGTTTAGGTGGTACTTAGCCATTATAAGAAAAATATTAACAGACTCTCTAATAATCATGAACCAATATAGCTATGTTCTGTAGCAGCAACCCAGGTATGTGCCCTTGACCAGGAATCAAACCTGACACCCTTTGGTCCAAGGGCCGATGCTGTAACTGCTGAGCAAACTAGCCAAGGCAGCAGCATTTTCTTTTTAATCCTCACCTGAGTACATTTTTCCATTTATCTTCAGGTAGAGTGGGAGGGAAGGGGAGAGAGAAAGAGAGAGAGAGAAACATCAACATGAAAGACACGTCGACACAACCCCGACCAGAGCTGGGGACCAAACCACATTCGATGTACATGCCCTTGACTGGAATCGAACCTGTGACTCTTTGTTCCTCAGGCCAACACGCCAACCTCTGAGCCAGACCAGCCAGGGCAGCAGCATTATTTTTTTTATTTCTTTTTTATCCTCACCCAAGGACATTCTTTCATTTTTTGTTCAGATAGAGTGGGAGGGAGAGGGAGAGAGAGAGAGAGAGAGAAATATCGACGTGAAAGGGACACGTCGAGTGGCTGCCACCCACACGACCAACCAGGGCCAGGGCCAAACTGCAACCTAGGTACGTGCCCTTTGCAGGAACTGAACCCGGGTCTCTCTGGACTGCAGGCCAACACTCTAACTGCTGAGCCAAACCAACCAGGGCAGCAGCATTATTTTTAATAGTCAAAAGGTAGAAGCAACCCAAGTGGATATAAAATATGTTGTGTGTATGTATATATATGTACACAATGGAATATTATTCAGCCTTAAAAAGGAAGGAAATTCTGATAAATGCTACCACATGGATGAACTTTGAGGACATTATACTAAATGAAATAAACCCATCACAAAAATACAAATACTACATGATTCCACTTATATGACGTACTTAGAATAGTCAAATTCATAAAGACAGAAAGTAGAATGATGGTTGCCACAGTCTGGGGGTTGGAGGGCAAATGAGGAGTTGTTTAAAGGATAATCGAGTTTCAGTTTTGCAAGATGAAAAGAGTTCTGGCCCGGCTAGTGTGGCTCAGTGGTTGAGTATCGACCCATGCACCAAGAGGTCGCCAGTTTGATTCTAGGTCAGTGCACATGCCCAGGTTGTGGGCCAAATCACCAGTGGGGGACATGCAGGAGGCAGCCAGTTGTTCTCTCTCATTGATGTTTCTCTCTCTCTCTCTCCCTCTCCCTTCCTCGCTCTAAAATCAATAAAGAAAAAAATAATTAAAAAAATAAAATAAAAAAGTTCTGAAGGTTAGTTGCACAACAATGTGAATGCACTTAACACTAGTAAACTGTACACTTAAAAATGGTTAAGGTGGTAAATTATATGTTATGTATTGTATCACACTTTTGTTTAAGTTTTAAGACAAGATATCTTGTTTCTTGAAGAGGTTGTTGGTACTAATAAAATATTTTCAATTCTTAAATTCTTCTAGTTTGCTTTCAACAACTTATTTATTGATTTGTGGGTTTGCATTTCAGGGAAGAAGAAGGTGAAGAGGAGGAATTTGGAGACTTTCGGCTTGTCCCAAATGATGATGAGTTTGATAGTGATGAGGTGAGTTTGAAGGGAGCAAAGTAGTCATATCTGAACTTTTCTTAGAATAAGAAGCAATTTCTTAGAATAAGATGTTTGGGCAGGAGTTTTTAAATCCTGTTTCAGTTGAAGACACATTTCATTCGGCCTGATGTGGGTGTAATCCTCTTATGATTTTGCAGGATGAGCACAGTAACTCAGATAATGAAGACGAGGCCCTGGAAAACCATGAAGATGATGATGATGAAGAAGAGCTCCTGAGGCAATCCGAGAAGTTGAAAAGGCAAATGTAAGTGTTATGTCCATTCCTTCAATTGCTAGAAAGTTTTACCAGTTGAGTTGTAGCTTGCCACCTTTTTATCTAAATTTGCTGGTTCTGTTGTTTTTGCTTTTTGTGGTTAGCATAGATTAAATAAAATCTATTCACATGTCATCTCTTAAGTATTCAAAGATGGTCATGTCCTCCTAAAGCTATTTCTATACTGAACATCTCCAGGTCCTTCAGCTGTTTCTTACATGACATTGTTTCCATACTGCTCACATACTGGATATTCTCTTTACCTTCAAGTGTGGTCTGACTACTGCTATATGTAGTGGTACAACCATATTCCTTGTTCTGGATGCATAACATACTACTTAGAATGTAATCAAAGGTCATAAGAGCTGAGTTACTATAGATCCCTAGGTTCTAGTAGTAGTCAACTACAGTTTCCTGGATCTTTTTTCCTATGAATTGAATTACTGTCATTCCAGGTTTTCTTCATCCTGGTTTTGGGCAAAACACCCCCATTTATTTTTTTAGTGTTTTGTTGTTGTACTGATCATGAAAGTAAGCCATTTATTTTAGAATATTTAAAAGAATATAGAAAGATGATAGTAAAAGTTATACATGGCCCTGGCTGGTGTGGCTCAGTTGCTTGAGCAACATCCATTACACCAAAAGGTTGTTGATTCAATTCCTGGTCAGGGCACATGCTTGTGTTTCAGGCTCAATCCCTAGTAGAGGGTGTGCAGGAGGTAGCCAATCAGTGTTTCTCTCTCCCCCCTTCTTTTTTCCTCTCTCTCTAAAAAATCAATTAAAAAAAGAAAGGTGCCCTGGCCAGTTTGGCTCAGCAGTTAGAGCGTCGGCCTGCGGTCCAGAGAGACCCGGGTACGGTTCCCGCTAAGGGCACGTACTTCGGTTGCAGTTTGTCCCCGGCCCTGGTTGGTCGTGCGGGTGGCAGCCGCTCGATGTGTCCCTTCACGTTGATGTTTCTCTCTCTCTCTCCCTTCCTCTCTCTCCCTCCCACTCTATCTGTACAAAAGATGGAAAAATATCCTCAGGTGAGGATTAAAAAAAAGAAAGAAAGAAAGGTAAATAAAAAATCATATATGTTCACCATCCAGAATTTTTTTATTATGAAAAAAAATTTTTTTTTCCCTTTATTGATTTGAGAGAGAAAGGAAGTGAGAAGGAGAAAGAGAAAGAAACATCAATGAGAGAGAACATCGATTGGCCGCCTCCTGCATGCCCCTCCACTGGGGATTGGGCCCACAACCTGGGCATGTGTCCTGACCAGGAATCAAACCAGCGACCTCCTGGTTGCATGGGTCAATGCTCAACCACTAGCCACACCAGCTGGACTCACCATCCAGAATATTTATTAAAGTTTTATGAAAGTGTTGATGGTCATTATTGCCTCATCACCTTTATTTTTTTTTTAATTCTCACCCGAGGATATTTTCCTATTTATCATCAGATAGAGTGGGAGGGAAAGAGAGGAAGAGAGAAACATTCATGTGAGAGAGACACATTGACTGGTTGCCTCCCACATGACCCAACCAGGGCCTGGGACAAACCGCAACTGAGGTATGTGCCCTTGACCGGAATCAAACCCACGACTCGTTGGTCCAAGGGCTGACATTCTAACCGCTGAGCCAGACTGGCCAGGGCCCTCATCACCTTTTATATGCTTATATCTTTATATAGTTGGAATGTGCACAATTTTTTTATATGTACAATTTTGTTTTCTTTCCCACTTAGCATATCCAAAAGCAATTTCCCATGAGGTTACAAGTTTTATAAAGAACATTTTAATAGGTATTCAGTATTATATTGTATGTGGATGATTTTTAGAATTCACCTGTAGGACATTGTTTTGATTCCTGTTAGATTTATATTATTGTTTTTAGTCCATCATTCCATTCTGTTAAGATCAGTTTTGGGTTCTAATTTATCACCTGTCGAATTAACTATCTCATAGAGCTGTGGGTCATCTATAGATTTTTCTAAGGCAGTGGTTCTTAAACCTTATTTAACTGCAGGGTCCAAGTGAAATCTTATAAAGAATGACAGCTAAAAGTTGAACTCATCAAAGTGGGTAGATGGGAAGATTGGGAAACTTAGTGGCTAGTAGCCCCTGAAGGAATTCCCCAGAAACCCTAGGATTTAGAGAAACTCAGCTTTAAAAAAATGACATAAGTCCCTGATAAAAACCAGCCTTCAGAAAGCAACCAACTCCTGCCACACATGGCCATAGATAATAGGACTTTGCACCCAGAGTGACAGCAGATTTGTTCTCAATGGGAACTGAGTCAGAAAAACTAACTAGCAGTGGTTTTGATCACCAGTAACTCTGAGCCTCAGTCATGCCTATAACTTGGGGGTCAAGATTTGGTGGACTGTAAGAGATCCCATCCCATACCGTCTGTCTCTTGAAGCTGGTGAGCTTAATACAAAACAAGATAGCTTGAACCTTCTGGCTGGTATGTCTCAAACGTATAGAAGAGATTGAGAGTTCTGGCTTTAAAGTCACCAACGTAATTGAGGCCCTCTACCTCCTAGCTGTATGACCTTGGGTAAGTAGTTTACTCTCTGAGTCTCAGTTCCTTCAACTATAAATTGAAGTGAATAATAGTATCCCCTCCTGAAATAATGCAATGATGTCTGTAAAGCACAATTATTGTCATACAGTATTATGAAGTGATAGACTTTTGAACATTATCAAAATGTATTACTATAGAGTTAAACTTATTGTTATAATTAGAGGTGTCTCTATGTTCTGCTTTTCTCATTGCTTCCACATTCTGTGTGTATATTCATTGTTGCCTTCTCTATTCAAAATTATTTTTCAGGAGATTGAAGAGATACCTGGAGGATGAGGCAGAGGTGTCTGGGAGTGATGTGGGAAGTGAAGATGAATATGATGGGGAAGAGATCAATGAATATGAAGAAGATGTGATTGATGAAGAACTTCCTTCTGATGAGGAACTACAGCATCAAATCAAGAAAATACACATGTCAGTATCTCAACAAGCCCTTCTGAGTAATGGGGTGTGTTTTATGACAGGCCCTATAAGTAGCCAGAGTGGTGCTCTATTTGAATACCATACTTCTCTCGTTGTAGGAAAACAATGTTGGATGATGACAAGCGACAGCTACGTTTATACCAAGAGAGGTATCTTGCTGATGGGGATCTGCACAGCGATGGTCCTGGACGAATGAGGAAATTCCGATGGAAAAACATAGGTATCTTGGTTATTGCCTTCGGCAGCAAATGGTATAATGTGCATGTTTGTCCAGTTTAAGAGGAAGAGTGGAAATCAAAACCATAACAGGCTGTTACAGAGGACCTGGCTGTAACCATTATTTTCTATTAGTGGATGGGAAAAGTTTGTGTCAATATATGGTAAATAGAGTATATGATAAGAGTTCATTTGTGTCTGTCCAAGCATCCTCTCCTATGGGAATTGCAGAATGCTGATAGCCTTACCTCTTTGCTTTAGATGATGCTTCCCAGATGGACTTGTTCCACAGAGACTCTGACGATGAACAGATTGAGGAACAGCTTGATGAGGCAGAAGCCAGATGGAGGAAGGAGCGAATTCAACGAGAGCAGTGGCTTCGGGACCAGGTAGGAAGTTTGCAAGAAATTCGCCTCTTTTGACCCTAATGTATGAGGAGAGGACCTAGAGACCTAGTTTGTCACAATACTGTAGTTTCAAAGTCTTGGGCAACATATGGCTGTCCCTTTAATCCTTGAGTTTTCTTTTATGCTTTGAGGAGGTTTACCATGAGCATTTCTTCATGTTTGTCCAAAATCAAATTTTTGGAGGGTCTAAAGCAAGCAAAGGTTGCAAAAAGGAAAACAAATGATATTCCAGCTATCTTAGCTTCACAATCCAGGCTATGCCAACTATTTGGGGGAGTTGTAGACTTTATTAATGCTGTCTGATTTTTATTTTCAGGAACAGCAGGGGAAAATTACAACTGAAGAAGAAGAAGAAATTGGGGAAGACAGTCAGTTTATGATGCTGGCCAAGAAAGTTACAGCCAAAATGTTGCAGAAAAATGGTGAGCTCTTGGTCCTCCTCAGGGTCTAGTCCCTGAATTATTAGTGCTGGAGCCTTGGAGATGACTCCAACCTCCAGGGGCTATTGCAACTAAGTTATGGGCCTGTGTCTATATTGTCTTAAAGAGATGGGGGAGACAGTGTTCTTGGATCTTAGTCTATTGGGCTATGCATGTTGTGCTTATGAGTATGGGTAGCTGATTTTGCTTTGTGTTATAAGACAGTTCAGAGGAGTGAATTCTGGATTTTTTATTAGTTGCCTAGGATTAAATATCTAAGCGTTAGAGCTAGAATTTAAACCAGATATATCTAACTCCAGAGCTGAGGCTCTTAAACACTGCTCCATGCTTGTACCATTCTTTTTTTTTTTTTAATTTTTTTTTTTATCCTCACCTGAGGACATTTTTTATATTTATCTTCAGATAGAGCGGGAGGGAGAAAGAGGGGAAGAGAGAGAAAGAAACATCAATGTGAGAGAGATACATTGACTGGTTGCCACCCACACGACCCCACCCGGGCCCAGGGACAAACTGCAACCAAGGTACATGCCCTTAGCGGGAACTGAACCCGGAACTCTCTGGTCTGCGGGCTCACACTCTAACTGCTGAGCCAAACCGACCAGGGCATGTACCATTCTTATTTCTTCTTATTAGTGCTAATGATTAGTCAGTAAGTTCAGCTTGGTTGTCTGTCTTCTTGTGGCCACTTACTATGGTTTCCAGTCACCATTATAAAATAATCAGAGTTCCTGTGGCTTTAATTTATTGGTTTGGTTAAAGGCTTTTTAGCTTGTTTAGATTTAAAAGTAATTCTACCCAGTTTTGCCCAGAACAAGCCTCTCTCTTTTTTCCTTTCAGCCAATCGCGCTGTGGTTATTCAAGAATCAAAGTCTTTACTCAGAAATCCTTTCGAGGCCATCAGACCAGGAAGTGCCCACCAGGTTGGTTGGGAACATTGTTAGCCTGACATCATGATCTGCAATGTTATAAAGGCCCAGGTCAAGCTAAGGGAATACTCACTCTCATTAGGGGAGGGAGGTGGCTGCAGGAAATGGATGTGGCAAAGGACTCTGATATTTCTCTTCTACTGAGCGGGGTAGGAATATGTCCCCTCAATACCTGGGAGAGACCAACTTCTCATTTTTATTTTTGGCACTTGGAATTTGATACCAGATGACTCTTCTTTCCTCAGCTGAAGACAGGCTCACTGCTAAACCAGCCCAAAGCTGTACTTCAGAAACTGGCTGCCCTCTCTGACCTCAACCCCAGTGCTCCCCGGAATTCAAGAAACTTTGTCTTCCATACACTTTCTCCTGTCAAGGCTGAGGCAGCAAAGGAATCATCTAAGCCTCAGGTAGGGAATTTGAGAACTGATTTGATGGCTTTCTAAGCAGAATTTATTTATTTATTAATTTTAAATATATATAGTTCTGGCTTAAAGGTTTATACTGTGATGTTAATCTTGCACTCCCCAATAAGGTTCAAGGGAATTGCTGCCCCTAATAGGTAATCAGTTTTGAAACTTTCTGAAAAGTTTATATTTCTTTTTTTTTTTTTTGTCGTTAATTGTTTATGATTTAACTAAGAATTGATGTAGAGCTAATTGAAGGTAAGCACTTGTATGAGGGTCTTGAGCTGGCGCTGACTCTCTCTCTGCTCTCTAGGTGAGGAGAAAGGACTCATCCTTAATGAGAACTCCTTCACCTAAGCGCCTCAAAACAGGTAATAGCACTTCAGGATTGAAGCAAAGCATCTTCAGCTACTTGGAAAGCTAACACCGTCGGGGTGCCAGCACCTACTTTGAGACTGCTTTGAGAAGTTCTGGCACTGAAAGTTGGAATTGATGCTCACGTGAATGGTTCTCCCCTTTCTTCATAATCAATGCATTAAGATTGCCGACAGAGATTCCAGTTCTGTCCACTGTATGGCTCTGGACATCTCTTTCCTTTTCTAGTATTATTTCCTGGGTTGGCCACTAATCTTTGTTCTGCAGTGTTTACAACATTGACTCATGGAACACTTGGGTGAAGACTTCTTTCCTTCATTAAATATTTGACAGTTGATCCTAGCAGCTTCCTGGGTTGATACCTCTTTGTGAAAGGAGAGGAAGAGGAAAAGGTGTGGCATTGCAGAAACTTACAGAAAGCAGCGAATATCATCAGTACCAGCTTGACTCCTTCACATCCTTCAGATCTGTACCATGGTGACCAGGACTCAGTGAAAGAGCTACTTCTTAGACAAAGGACCTAGGAACCAACCGATGGACTGTTTATTAGTCTGGCCCGTTCCATTTTCCTGTATGCCTCTTCCCAAGACAACCCCAAGTGTCCAATGAACCTTTGCTTTCTTTAAAATAAGGACTCAAACTCTGACTTGGTACCCAAGTCAGAAAGACCTTAGCCTCAATTTTCTGCTGTATGAGGATGAAGATAAAGGGTTACACATGAGATACCCCATGGAACAGAGAGCTCTCTCTCGGGATGAAATTCTTGATCTGAAACCCTGTTGCTCGAGGACCTCCCTTCTCATTCTGACAAAAAGAAATATAACCATGATTTATTGCATTCAACTGGGTAGAGTACATTGCCCTAATTGGTCAGAAGATAATTTAATACTTCATTATTTATTTTGAGAGAAAACCATCATAGAGTTTAATCAAAATATTAAGAGAGCCCTGACGGGGTGGCTCAATAGGTTGGAGTGTCATCCTGTATACCAACAGGTTACAGGTTAGATCCTTGGTCAGGGCACATACCTGGGTTGTGGGTTCAATTCCTGGCCGGGGTGCGTATGGAAGGCAACCGATTGATCTTTCTCTTTCTCTCCCCCTTCTTCTCTCTCTCAAATCAATGAGCATGTCTTTGGGTGAGGATTTTTATATGTATATATTTAAGAGAATTGCCAACACTCTGAATTTCCCTAAACTACCACGAGGCACTCAGATTTTGGATAGATTTTTTTCCCCCTTAGAACTGACCATCACTGCTGCTTTAGGAAAAACACTCCATGTGAATCGTGTGGTTCCACTGTCAGGAGCTGGACTTGGAAGTTGGATGAATTGTGCCAATTTTTTATTGACAGCTGGGGAACCAGTTTCATTGATGGAATTAGGGAACAGGTTTTCTCCAGTTGTTTCTACTGCACAAGATGCTGACTTTGACAGAATTCATGTTTGTATATTTGTAATCTTGTAATGGGGAAAATATATGTAAAGATGTTTTAATATGTATGTAGTTTTACAATAAATCTCAACATCTGTCCAGATTGAATGCTCACTCTTAGGTCAGCGCCTGTCTAATGTTGAGAGCATTTGTTTCAGGGTGTCTCTGAGGGAAGCCCCTCTGGGTCGAGAGTGAGAGGCTGCTGCACTTGACCCTCACTGGCTTCTCAACTCCAGTGAATTGATCACATTAACTTGCCAAGTGGTTTGGGTTCAGTGCAGGTGAGGAGAGTTTACATACATTACAAAACAATTTTATTGCTTGATTTTAGAGAGAATGTTTTTATAGCCCTTTATTGGCAGCCATAGGTCTAAGGTGAGACTTATTGCCACTCCCTTTCAGAGCCTCCATTTATATCTACACAAGGATAGTAGTGCTACTCTCAGAGTTGTTGTGAAGTTGGAAAGTGTATGTGACTGCATTGTGTCAAGTGTTACTCTGCAAGCATGAGAAATTGTCAACATTGCAGCCACAGCACATTTTGCTAACCACTTCTTTTTTCCCTTTTATTGATTTTAGAGAGTGGAAGGGAGAGGGAGAAAGAGATAGAAACATTGATGAAAGAGAACATCGATTGGCCGTCTTCTGCACGCCCCCACTGGGGATCGGGCCCACAGCCTGGGCATGTGCCCTGACCGGGAATCGAACTGGTGACCTCTTGATGCATGGGTCAACGCTCTACCACTGAGCCACACCAGCTGGTGGCAGACCACTTCTTAAAGGCTCGTTGTCTCATAAGATTCTCAAATTTAACATCTTGAAAAATGTGACTTTTTTCCCTCTAAAAACCTCTTCCTCCTGTTTCCCATTTCAGTAAAAGGCACCTCCACACACCCAGTCACTCAGGCTGGAAACCTGAAGGCCATTTTTTTTAAGTTATAAAAGTTTTAGTCCTTCAAATCCTACTTGAAAGGATTTTTGTTTGTTATTGTTAGGGTATAACATTATGTTAGTTTTAGGTGTACAACATAATGATTTGATATTTGTGTGTATTGTGGAATGATCACCACAATAGATCCAGTTAACATCTAGACCATACAAATTACCAGATACTTTTCCTTGTAATGAGAACTTTGAAGATCTACTGCCTTAGCAACTTTGAGATACGCCATACAGTGTTAACGATAGTCACCATGCTGTACATCACATCCCCGTCACTGTTTTATAACTGAAGGGCATCTTGACACTTCCATCCTTATTCCTATCATCAAACAATCTCCACGTCCTGTTATTCCTACTTTCGCATTACATCTTAAATCAGCTAATTTTTCCCAGCTTTATAGCCAGTGTCCTTTTCCAAGATTCCACAACTTCTTGCCAGGGTACTATAATAGTCTCCTGATTCCCCCATTCCTAGTTTTGCTTCCCTTCTGTCCAATCTGTGCACAGCAGCTAAGAGGGTGATCTTGGTATAAACATAAATTAGAGGATGCCACTTCTCCACTTAAAACCTTCCACTGTAAAGTTCAAACTCATGACCTACAAGGCCCTCTGATATAGCTCTGCCTTTCAACCCCCTATTCACTCTTTCTATTCACATTACACTCGGCTCAGGGCCTTCCAAACTGTCTTTCATTTTCCTGGGATGTCCTCTCCACCGTCCTTTCTCTGGCTAATGTATAATTCTCCAGGTGTTAGCTTAGATCTAAATTCCTCAGAGATGACTTCTGTTACCACCCCTTTCTTACCCATGCTAGTTTCCTATTTTTTTTAAAAATCACCATTTGTCACCTTATGTTTGTTTAGGTCTGTCTTCCTTCTCCTAGACTTAATTCTGTGAAAGCAGAGACCACATCCATTTTGTTTAAAAATGTATGCTTTGGGTAGTGCCATGCTTGGCACATGCCCAAATAAGTATTTATTAAACAATGGGTGATCTAAAGCCTAGAAGAGCTAATGGTGAAAAGCTTGGAGCTGAATGGCCTACAAAGAAGCTTTTGTTTTGGTGGGATAGAATCAAGATGGTTGCTATGTGAGACCTTAAGTCCTTGCTCAGCGACTTACAAGTGACAGGACTTTGCATAAGTCATTCTCTCTGAACTCTTTTCCTCAAGTGGAAGATGAGGCCAAAGTGAAATGGCTTGGTTTAGGATCAAAGGGACAAATTGATGTGAAATGATTGAGGCTGAGCTAATGCTGCCTAACCCACTGCCGAGGAAGGGTTGGTGCTGATGCCTCCTTATCATCTGGCTCAGTGGGAAGGAGAGGCCAAGCCTCACCAGTCTTCACAACTACCAGCCCTTGGGCCCATCTCAGGACCAGTGATGGCTAGCTGCGTGCTGGGGCTTGCGGGAGTGGTCAGGATGGAGGTCAGCTGTGTGCCTGGACTCTCATAATGAGCTGAAGAAATAGGCACAGCTTTGTACATGGCTGATGTCACCTGGGATTTTACCTTTTTATACCCAGGTGCCAGATTTCTCTGCCCCTAGTAGTTGTATTGTCTTGGGATGTACTATCCATGTCCTTTTCATTCTGTCTTTCTGTCCTCTCTTCTTTCACCTTAAAGGTTTTTCATTTTCAGTTTATTGATCTAGTTCTTCCCTGTGGTGGGATAGCTAATGGGAAAGTGGGGTATGAAGTAGCTACAGCCTAAGGGTGATCCGTGGAAATTATGAGGCTGGATGTCTGGGTTCTTTCCCTTTATTTTAGAAGGAACCACAGTCCAGTATTCTTGATGGCTGGTGGGCTAGAGGTGGGGGCTGGAGAATCACTGGACCCAGTCGAAGGGGTAGCAAGTGCTGGGGCAGGGTTGAATGGGAGTGAGTCATGGGGTAGGCTTTTCATCCCCTGTCTTTCTTTTTCTCAGAGGCTGAGGAAAGGGAAAAAGCTGACTGCCCACCCCTCTCTTTGTTTGTCTTGTCTAATTTAACTTATGTTATTTATCAAATAGACAGGTTATTTGGAAAACCAGATGGACCCAGGCAAAAATCATCTGAGTTTTCTAAATGTGAAAAATTAGGTTCTGGGGGCCCAGGAGGAAAGGCGTGTGTGTGTGTGTGTGTGTGTGTGTGTGTGTGTGTGTGTGTGTGTGATTGGGAGGTGGTAAGGAGTATTGAGGGTACTTTATGTCTCTGTAGTCAGACCCAGAAATTTCTCCATGACATCCAAGCTTCCCCCCTTCTTCTTTTCCTTTCAAGTTCTTTATGATTAGAATCTAAATGAGAAGACTAAAGTCTTTATGTTGGTGGCTGGGAGTGCTGAAAGGTTTAATTGGCCAAAGATGAGAACGTGTCAGGGCTATAATAGAACAGCAGCTGACAGCTTTCTCTCTCCAGCTCTCGCCTCCTACAGAACCAGTGGGTTAGCAAGAGGCGCAGGGTACAGAGAAGTTTCTGGAGCAGAAACCACCACTTGTCCCTTCGGTATTATCCCCAAATGACCACAGCACTTATGAAAGTTAGCCATTAGAGGAAGAACTTACCATTTCATAACTTTCTGATGATTCGATGGCCAAAGAATACTGGGGAATAAGGGTTGTCTCTCCCTTAAATATCCAGGGAAGAAGCTAGCTGTGTGGTTACAATCAGAAATGTTGAAAGCCTGTGGTTCTGTTA